GCACACGCACACGCACACGCACACGCACACGCACACGCACACGCACACGCACACGCACACGCACACGCACACGCACACGCACACGCACACGCACACGCACACGCACACGCACACGCACACGCACACGCACACGCACACGCACACGCACGCCCACACGCCCACACGCGCACCCACGCGCCCACGCGCCCACGCGCCCACGCGCCCACGCGCCCACGCGCCCACGCGCCGGACGCGCACACGGCGCACGGACGCACGGACGCACGCAGACGCACGGGACGCACGGACGCACGGACGCACGGACGCACGGACGCACGGACGCACGGAGCACGGACGCACGGACGCACGGACGCACGGACGCACGGACGCACGGACGCACGCACGCGCACGCACGCACGCCAACGCACGCACGACGCACGCACGCACGCACGCACGCACGCACGCACGCACGCACGCACGCACGCACGCACGCACGCACGCACGCACGCACGCACGCACGCACGCACGCACGCACGCACGCACGCACGCACGCACGCACGCACGCACGCACGCACGCACGCACGCACGCACGCACGCACGCACCCGCACGCACGCACGCACGCACGCACCCGCACGCACGCACCCGCACGCACCCGCACGCACCCGCACGCACCCACACGCACCCACACGCACCCACACGCACCCACACGCACCCACACACACCCACACACACCCACACACACCCACCCACCCACCCACACACGCACACACACACACGGGTACGCACACACACACACACACATAACCACAACAGTTTTGCATACTCGTGTTTTGTGCCCCGCGTCTTGGCTTACAAAGGTCAGGCCCACCAAGCCGATCCTTGGTACGCCATACCACAATCAAGCAGTCGCTGCAGCACTTGGAGCGGCAGTGCTGTCCTGGCCATCAGGGGCGATCCAGGAGCGCGGGCTGCGCAGCCAGGATTGCGACCCTGAAGCACCATTGATGATTCCGCAGTGAATGAATGGGTAGACATTTGCACAATGGATCCAGAGGGAGCAATCCTCGTTGCGCACATTGCCGAAAATTGGCGCATGCAGATCATGCCCCTCCGTGGCAAGGCCGAAGCGCCCCATGCTAAGAATTCGGCGAAACAGAGAGACTGACCCTGGAGGTGCGAAGATCACGAGAGATGCTCAACCAATGAAGGGCAACCTCCAGTGGAATTGGCGTCGGCTCTGCAGAGCCAGCCATCCGCATTGCATCCCTGTGCTGCCACATGCAGATGCCCCACTAAGCTCCATGAGCCGCCCCAGTTCTTTCAGCTGGTCAGCGGGGATTGGGAGACATTTTTCCGAGCCCATGGCGATGTAAGACATGCAGATTTGACCCGGATCGAGCACGAAACCTCAGCCGTCGAAAGCTTCTTACAGCTCGTTGCCAAATCTAATCGTCTCCCCTGTTTGCGACTTGTCCATGCTGTTGCCGATGTTTCTCTCATAGTTGGACTGGACTTTACGCGACCAAGCCGACGGTCAGCGCTCGCGAAGGTTCTCCAGGAAGCCGTATTCAGTGTGCAGACGTGGGATGTGTGACCATTTCACCTGTGGGTCGACCATAGCAGGGGATTGCTATGAATGCAATAAGCATAAGCACAGATTCAACCTGCATGGCCATGCTGGCCATGCCGGGCATGGGAAGTGACAAATCACAGTGTTCAGATTGTGCAAACATATCCATCCAACAGCACTTGCGAATCACCGGATTATCCGGCAGTTCTTTGGGCGGGTCCTCTCTGTCCCTGGTGCCGAAGCCGCAGCAGTGGCACATCCGGGCTCCCAAGTTCCGGCTGGACGCAACTTGCCGGACGGAACAGCTCCTTAGTAGCAGCTTCGGTGAGGGTCTCCTCAATACCCAGTTGGGTCAGATAATTTTTCCAATTTTGACTCCCACAAAGGCCACATAACTCAAGCCCGGAGCCAAAGTTGAATGTGTCTGGGCAGCCCAAGTCATTTTGGAGACCCTGGCAACTATCTACGGACCTCTCCATTATGCGCACGCCCAATACGCAGGATTGCAGCGCCTTTTCTCAGAGCGAATGTAACAGCTGGAGTTGAGAACCCGAGCGAACGAAGCCAGCACATTGGAAGGCGTATGTTGTGAAAGGTGGTGTCGAGCGATAATTGAAGATCATAGGTTGCAGCAACAAACTTCACCATGACTTCGGCAAACACCTTTCTTGGCCTTGGCAAGCCTGCCTGTTCTCCTTGATGCGCTTGGAACATGTGTGGGCATGGCTGGCCAGCTCTCAAGATGCAGGGTGCTGCGTGCTCGGAGCTAGACGCTCGAACCAATAACAAAGCTCGCGCAATCCACCTGTTGGAGTGCTGCAGCAATGTTCCGAAGCACAGGACAGCATGAATCTTGGAGCACGGGTGTTTACCAGCAGCATGCAGGTTTGAGCCGAATGTGTCTGGGCAGCCCAAGTCATTTTGGAGACCCTGGCAACTATCTACGGACCTCTCCATTATGCGCACGCCCAATATGCAGGATTGCAGCGCCTTTTCTCAGAGCGAATGTAACAGCTGGAGTTGAGAACCCGAGCGAACGAAGCCAGCACATTGGAAGGCGTATGTTGTGAAAGGTGGTGTCGAGCGATAATTGAAGATCATAGGTTGCAGCAACAAACTTCACCATGACTTCGGCAAACACCTTTCTTGGCCTTGGCAAGCCTGCCTGTTCTCCTTGATGCGCTTGGAACATGTGTGGGCATGGCTGGCCAGCTCTCAAGATGCAGGGTGCTGCGTGCTCGCAGCTAGACGCTCGAACCAATAACAAAGCTCGCGCAATCCACCTGTTGGAGTGCTGCAGCAATGTTCCGAAGCACAGGACAGCATGAATCTTGGAGCACGGGTGTTTACCAGCAGCATGCAGGTTTGAGCCGGACACCGCTCGTGCATGACGCAGAGGTGTGCATTCAGCCCAAGGATGACCCTTGCGATCAGTTTGCGCAGTGGCTCCGAATATGGCAGCTCCAGCGTTGCTGACCTTGCCATGCTTGAGCGGTAAGCCCGTCCCTCAAGCAGCCCTCAAGCACAACCCTTCATGCTCCGCGTGCCGAACGGTCCAATTTGAGTTTCCGACACCGAAAAGCCTTGGCCTGACATTCTGGACAGGACTGGCTTGAATTCAAGTCAGCTGGCTTGAGACACCTGGGCACGCGAATGCCAGTGACACAGCGCTACAAGAAACTCGGCCAGGGAACCCCAAAATACCTCATGTCAATGCGTTTCGAGCGCCCAAGCTCGCCTCGAATTCAAGTTGCAGCTGGCGGTGAACGGGGCCGTAACGACGGGCCGTAAACATCGCCCACGCTGCGCCAAGCATTTGCTCCACGCGGTAGTTAGCTTGCTTTTCCGGGAGGTCTCCGCAATCCCCTTGCAGTGTGCAGACAGGCTATTGAGACGGAACAACCAACTCGCATTGTGCGTTCGGTGCCAGTCGTGCCAGTCCCGCTTCCATGCCAGAGTGCCCTGCGGACATACACACGCCTTGACTGCGTTTCTACCTATCCTGGTGTTCCTGACGCGCCCAGAAATTGCCTTGCCGCAACATTGGTCACCCCGAAGCCATGAAGTGCCAGTGTCAGAAACTGCGGCGAAGAGCGCCCTTTGATCCGCTCTCAGACCCCTGTGGACGCTTGCCGCGCTTGCCAAGAGGCCTGGCTGGTGTCTTTGGTTGCAGTTGCCTCAACAGCGGCTACCACAGCTCGCTGAGTTGGCAGTCTCGGGTTCCCAAGGGGCATGAACTGCTGGTCTTGAAACGGGCTTGGGACTAGTGACTAGGACGTACCATTCAAAGTCACAAAGAAGGGCAAGACTAAGTGTCCGTCGCCGTTGACCAAGGCTCGCACCAGTGTAACCGGAGATGCTACGTTTGCGTCCTCACAAGTGCAAGTACGTGTGCAAGACAAAGAGCATGTTTGCTCGCCTTTAGCAATTTGGCTGTCAATGCAGCTGTCTGAGACTACCTGCTGCCGTCAGCCACCTATGCTTTGACTGGACTCGACCGAACACCCCTTGAGCAGATCGAGATGCTGCTTGGCTGGCAGGCTCAACTCATGGCCCGGGCACTAAGTAGTTGTTGCTTCGTGCACACAGGCGGATTTGAAGCTGGCACTGACGCCAGTGCAGGGTCGGCTGCAAGGCTGCCCGGGAAGTGCGACTGAAACAAGCAAGCCACAAAGAAACGGAGAGCAGAGCTTAGATGATGCCAACGCAGGTATGCGCATTTGTGCAGGATCGCTTGCGTGCAAGTGCCCAATGAAGCTTCGAAACGCAACAACATTCTCAGCAGCTGCCACCACTAAAGCATAGTGCATGACGACCTGGAGTATTTGGACATACGACTCGGCATCTACTAGGCACCGCAGCGCATGCAACTATTGATGAATCTGCCGCAGCTGGCAGCATGGTTCCATGGATTTGTGTCGGCGCGCTGTCAGTGAGTCTCAGCAAGCCCTGACGACTCACACCACGCTACGCTGACGTGTCCTCGGATCTTGCAACAGCCTCATGGACGCAAGCTGCAACATGCAGCCCCCGGCGGAAGCCGTGAGGCCCAGTTCCGCCAGTTCCGCAGTGGATTTTTTGGACATACGCATCCAAGGCCGAGATAGCCCACACCCAAGCCACCTGAACCGCTTTCCGGGAATGCACATGGAGTCCAGCGACGCGTGGGGCATGCAATTCGCCCAGCAGGTGTTGGAAGCAAATTCTAAGGAGTACTGACGTTCACTGGAGACCCCCGCTCGCCCGCGCTCTCATCACGCCCGTTGGTGCACCATAGGTCTGCCTAGCACTCAGAGTTAGCGAGAGCTTGGCGCACATTGGCCAGTGTCTGTTGTCTTGAGGCAGCCGTGCAGTGTGCTGACTCCTGTCTTGCAAGGTTGCGATTCTGAGCCATGCCGGCATCTCCCCGCTCTTGGATATTTGGAAGCCAGTTGCAAGCTTCTGTTGCCCTGAATGTGGTTGCTTCTTGGCACGGGCATGCGCATGCAGAACTATAGCCATTTTAGCTTGTGGGCGGGTGTCATTGGGCTTGAAGCAGCCTTGCAGTATGCTGACCCCTCTAATCTTGCAGAACATGTGCCCTCGTTTGGAGCCTTGCCGGGTTCCGCATCGAAGCCGTCCATCTCTGGGTTGGCGCGCGCCTTGCAACTGGAAGCCCTCATGTTCCTGAATTTGGTTGCTTCTTGCCACGGGCATGGGCATCTCAGAGCCCGCAGAATCGGAGAGCTGGGGACCACGTTGGAGGTGAGCATTTTGGTCGAACTTCTGCAAAGCCGGGTGCCGCTCGAGTGTCGGTAGGCATCCATTTCGCACTTAGCCCGGTGCTGTTGGCTCCTTTAACCTTGCATGGATGTTTGGATCAAGCTGTCCGTCTCTCTGTTGGCGCTCGCTCGGCTATCTGGCAAGCTCATGTTAGCTTGAGCCACGTGATTGTTCCTTGCCACAGGCATGCTCATGTTGGCGACTGTGGAATCAGAGAGCTGGGGCCCACATTGGCCGTCACAGCTTATCCTTGCTGCACTCGAGTCTCAGCAGGCATCCAGTTTCCAGTTGGCTTCATTGAACTTACAGATGGGGCCATTTTAGCTTGGGTTGCCAGAAGGGGGTTGTCATTGGGCTTGAAGCAGCCTTGCAGTGTGCTGGGCCCTATGGTCTTGCAGAACATGTGCCCTCGTTTGGAGCCTTGCCGGGTTCCACGTCCAAGCCGTCCATCTCTCTGTTGGAGCTCGCTTGGCTATCTGGTTTGCAGCTGCAAGCTCATGTTGGCTGGAGCCACGTGATTGTTCCTTGCCACGGGCATGCAGTTGTGTCTGGCCACAAGCATGCTCACGTTGGCGAGAGAAGTAAAGAGGCCGCTGACACTGCGCTGGCAGCGGCGCCAGCAATGCGGCGCATAGTCTTTGGACCTTTCCAGGCCCCGAATGCAAAAGCTCGGGCCCCGACTGAGACTCTGTTTGCCTTTGGTTGACACGGCGCAGGAGCTCCGCTGAGCACCTTCAAGAGCGAGCCATGAAGAGCTGTCGGCTGTGAGTAGCAACATCGCAGATGATGCACTTTCTTGAGCTGCCGGCCGAAGACCTGTTCCAACGCACATGTGAATCCTGGATCCTTGGCTATGACTTGGCCAGGTCTTGCGCGCAAAGAAGGCTCTAATTCTGGCGAGTCGTGGGTGCAGGTATACCTCTCGGCGCTCACTTGCGCAATTTGGCCAATAGGCCACAAGCGGAGGGCTTTGGCTCGGGTTGGAGATGGGGCGAGACTCGCCCGCACCTCGCGTGATCAGGACTCAGATGCCGCTTGACTTGCTGCCCCACCCGGGCCTCACAAAGACTCGCCCGGGTCTCCGAAGCCTGAGGCTGAGGGCTCCCAAGGGACCTGAGAAGAAATGGCGAAGCTGCAGGGAGGCCAGCGTCATGCATGTACTTCTCAGGCTTTGTTTCTCCCCTATTGTTCCCCAATGTGTCAAGTCTGGCAAGACTGAGTTGAGTGCTGAAAATATGGACTTCAGTATCCCGGCAGGCAGTGTTGCTCGAGGTCACTGGGACATTGCGCCGTTTTGAGACAAATGGTAGGCCGCAAGCGGCGGAAATGCGCGCGACGATTGCAATCGTCGCACCTTCGCAGCAGGCAAGGGACAGCCCAGACGCTAGAGCTCCAAAACCCATCCTGAGCTCGATTGATCCTGGTCGAGCTAGCAGCACATGTGCCCTCCAAGACTCTGGGGCGACTGGTGAGGCATGTCGACCCGCCTTCGTGGTGAGCCAAGATGCATTGCCAGCGAATGCGGCGCTTTTTGCCTGGCAATTGCAGCGCTCCAGCCCTGAGGCTTGACTGGGCTGGGAACTTGAGCTCTGTGGCGCGCACACAGTTCGTGCGCCCGAGCGAATCACGTTTCAGTGAGATTGCAACTTTCAACAGAGCAAACAGCGCGCGCGCAATCTTCCTTTTCCTTTCTTTCGAGTTTGTGTCATTGGCCGCATGTTTCTTGGTCATGGAGAGTGGTTTTGAGACTCACACTGCGCTCAAGCAACCAGATTGAAGCCCTCTGTCATCGGTTCAGCAGATTTGGGTTTGGAGGCAGGATGCGCCTTTGCTTGTGTATGCCTTGCGCATAGCATGTGTTATGTGGAAACGCATTTTTGGCATAGCGTATGTCTATCGTGTTTTTCTTTCGGATAGCCCCTCTGTGTGTGTTTACGTTTCTTATTTGTCCGGTGGCCAGTCGGGAATGTGGGAGTGCTGGGCTTGCCGAGATCCTAATACTGTGGTGCTGTCGTCGCCGCCGAGGCGTGTGTTTTTGCTTCTGCATGCTTTGTCCGCTTCCCTGGTCTGGATTCGGATGTGCTGTTTTTGGCCCATGGCCCATCCTCGTCGGCGCTCAAGAACAGCCGCGGTTTCACGCGCTCTTTGTTTGATGTTGTTTCCAGTTTGTCCGCTTGGCTGATTTGGGTTTGGGGTGACGCAAGGAGGAGAGTTGGAATTTTATGATGCAACTGAATGATGCTAGGAGGTTGCAGATGTGTTAATTTGCTTTCTGTTTCCTGCGAACTCGTGCTCGTGGCTCATGGCATCAGACAACTGCGGGCATTCACGTCAGGTACGTGATCAGGTACAAGTAGAGAATGGAGCTTGGCCTTCTTTTGGTTTCCCAGATTATTCAGTCTTCATCCATTCGCTGTGTGGTTTTCGATAGCGTTACCTTCAAATCTGAGCCAACTTGAAAATATGTTCGACACTTGGCCATGATTTCCTTCTAAACACTTTGTCTAACCCCCCCCCCCGGTTGTGGTTGTGACTCGCATCTTGCACCGGACAGTCTTACCCTGATTGCTGCACGAATGATGAGCTTGAATGAAGGGGATGTCTAAATTCCCAAAGCATCGCGAAGGGTTCTTCCGTGCTGAGCCCTTGGACTAACTTGCATAGAGCAACTTGCATAGAAGCACTTGCGCAGGCCGACTTGCACAGAGCCATTTGCACAGAGTCGGTTGCAAAGAGCCGTTTGCACAGAGCCATTGCGCAGAGCCATTTGCAGAGAGCTACTTGCGCAGAGCGACTTGGACAAAGCCATTTGCACAAGAGTCGGTTGCAGAGCCATTTGCGCAGAGCCAGTTGCACAGAGCCATGGACGGAGCTATTTGCAGAAGAGTCGGTTGTGCGTAGCCATTTACGCAGAGCCAGTTGCACAGAGCCATGTGCGCAGAGCGAAATTGCGCAGAGCTACTTGCACAGAGCCATCTGCGCAAAGATTCTTGCGCAGAGCCATCTGCACAGAGTTACTTGCGCGACTTGCACAATTTAGTGAGGCCTTATTGCTCACACCCCAGATGAGACCCACCAGCTATTGCCGCGAGCAATTGGCAATATCGCTTGAGGCATTCAGTTTTTGCTTTTGCGTTGAGAGACGCGCTGTATTGGAAGCACGCACCTTCTAAGTCCAACAGGGCTGACGCTGTCAGCCGCCTCAGGCCCGACGAATCATGGTTTCGGGCGAACGGTTTGGAACTGCTGCAGTTAGCTTTTGCGGCGCGATGTCAGTGCGTTGGAGCTGCCGCAGGGTCAGTGCCGGGAGGAAGTAGGGCCGCAGCAAGGTTCAGGCCACTGATCCCTGGCGACACTGATATGTGTTGGTATTGCGAGCCAGCGTAAATCGTCTTTCATTCGACTCCTTTTAGCCTTAAAAATTTGTGTGTTGGCGGACCCCAGGGGAGGGCTGACATGGGGGGTGTGCCCCCACGGCGTTAGAGACTCTCCAAAGGAAAGCAAAGAAGCTTGACCCTGCCAAGGCCAAGCAGCAACTAGGCTGATCGCAAATTGAGCAAGGGAAGTGTGCGCCAGGGAGTATGTGGCACGTGTTTTGTGTGTTTGCGCTCGTTCATAGTTCAAAATTCAGTTATGCGAGGAACCGGGTCGGCGCTCACATCCAACTCACCCGTGAAGAGGTCGAGCAACCCCAAAACTATGACGAACTGCTTCACGAAACAGAAGCGCTGCGACTCCGTGAAGAAAGACTTAGAAGTTTGGAGCAGGAGTGTGCCATCAGTCCAACAAGAATGGCGCGTCCGTATCCGCTAGACTGAGGAGAAACTCCAAAAGGAAATTGAGAAGAAGGCGCGGCTCAAAGATGCCTTGTGCAATTTGAGTTGCACGTTGGAGGAACTTAAGCAGGCAACAAACTGCGTTCGCGCAGTTTTCCGGATTGTCAGTTGGGGCAGGGCTCAAAGAAGCCCTGTGCAACCCAGTTGGACCATGGGTATGCGACAGACCCAGTTGGACCATGGGTATGCGACAGACTACTCTGGCGCAGCTTGTCCGGCCTTTCCAGCAGAGAAATCGGCAGCCCTGTTTCTGAGGCAAACGGCCGGTAACCCCGGGGCATTGCTGTGGGCAGTGTTGCAAGTGCATTCCCAACGCTTCATGTCGCTTCTCACAGTTCACTGTCCATCTCGACACGAATTTCCCTCTCTCTGTCTTGACCCTGATTCATCAGCGCATCATTCGCACTCACCAATCTTTGCTTCTTCTCCTCGACCCCGTCTCGATACGCGATTGCAATCGGCGATTGCTTCGCTTCGAAGTTTGTCAACATATTCTTCCTTCATCTCGAGCTCGCGCTTGAGGTATTCCTGCCTTGCCCAGATATGGCGCAGCCTGACCTTCACGCACACGACGCGCGCACAACAGCGTTGGCCTCTTGTTGGGCAATGTTGGCCTCTTGTTGGGCATAAGCAAGTGCTTCGTTCGCCCGTTGCGCAAGCATATCTGACGATGCGTTGGGATCAAGTTCAGGAGGATGTTGCGTATTGGCTTCGTCCAAATGTCTACGCAAACTGGCTGCAACCTCTCCTTTGCGCGCGTTGTCCAGCTTTGCCTTCACCACTACGCCCCGTACTCTCCAATTGGCATACTTGCGCGGATGTTTGCTGATCAACTTCTGCATACAACCGTGAAGATTTCGACACAGATACTTCCCGGCATAGCGCCGCTTGTATTTCATGGGAAATGACAGCCCCTCAAGCTCTCTCTCCCTCTCTCTCGCTCTCTCATATTTCCCACTTCGTCTGTTTTGCCTGATCATCAGAGTTTGCTAGCAGCGTTGGGCACAAGCGTGTAATCCGGAATGGAGAGCCGCGAGAGCCTTCCGCTGCTGTGAGCGGTTGCAAGGTCCGGTCGACAACAGAAGAGTTCCGGCCGACAACAGAAGAGGTCCGGCCGCCAGCAGAAGAGGTCCGGCCAACATCAGAAGAGGTCCGGCCGCAAGCGGCAGAGGCCCGACCGACAGGAGCAAGGATCTGACAGTCGCTTGGTGTAGCAACCTGCTCTGTGCAGACTCCCGATCAGCCATGCTTCTTGTGTCGTGGTGCTGCATTCCAAGTGCGCGAAGACCTCGTGGGCTCATGGAGCCTTTGAGTCCACATTTCGTCGCGGGTTCGGAGGCATCTTGGCTGCGTCATATTTTTTCAGTGAATGGTTTTGAGGTTTCTCGGCGCGCCTCGTTTTGTACTCTGTTTGGGCAGGTTTGGAAAGTGTCTGTCGAGTAGGTGTCAGCAACTATTTATGCAGACTTTTTGAGGCGGTCTGCGGTGGATCGGGACGAAGCGGCACTGTCGTACCCACGAGATTCTGCGCGAGCCTTTTTTGGCATGAGAGTTTGCGACTGTGTGTTACTTGAAGGGGTCGAAGTGTTTCATGACAGCTCCAGCGGCTGTCTGGCGGATGCTTTCCGTTGGCCGCAACCGAGAGATGGCCACTCATTCCGGCGGAGGAGGAGCTTGGCATGTTTTGGCTTAGACACTGTACTGTGAAGTTGTTGTGTCGTGCACGAGCATTTGTGTCGCGCCAGGAGCTGCGAGCCAACCTGGAAACAGCTCGGGATCCAATGCGAGTTCTGCTGCACAAGCTGACACGGCGAGCGGCAAAGCTCCTGCGGCTGTATGTGGGCACTGCTTAGAAGCTTTTTGTGGCAAGCGGCCCTGGTTGTGCAAGTATGCGCTAGCCAACGATCTTTGGCTTGGTCGCCCGGACCCTTTGCGTTGGAAGGCCAACATGACGCACGAGATGTGTTTGGCTGGCAAGGACCGTGGCCACAAAAGTTGCCCTGCGCGCCAGAGGCGCGTCTCAGTCAGAAAGTAGTAGCAGCAGCGGCAGTAGACGGGACTATGTTTTCCAGCAGTCCGGCCTAGTTGGATTCAAAATGGCGACGCTGAGTACGCGCTGGACAGCCTGCTGCATCGCAAGCTCCATGATGCATTGGCCGTGTCATTCTGTGTGGACTTGCCATCTGCTGAAGCGCAGGAGCAGAGCAAAGCCACGGTCAGCCGTGTCGCGCAGCTGCAGCTGAATAGGCGTGACTTTGCTCAACAAGCTGAAGCACTGCGAGAGACAAACCCCGTGTACCGCAGCCTCGTGGCCGAGATCAGCCGCCAACTTCTTGCCGAGTGGTTTGGAAATGAGGACTGCTTGCATTGGGGTCTTGATAGGCAGCACATGCGCTTCACATTTCACATCACGCAGAGCATGCGAAGTTCTGAATTCGACCGGCACCAGCCAGCTTTTCTGC